GCGTGGGCATGTGAAGGAGACCAGCGGGGCCAGGGGGAATGCCAATCACACAACTGGCCACAATCTCAACCATCACTGCTCGTCCTCCACTTGTGCACAACTCTCGAGTGTGTGAATACAATTGTCTGTCACTCGACATCTGGGTGTTTGTGTGTGTGTGTGTGTGTGATTGTTTGTGTTTGGTCTGAGGTCTGCATGGTAGGTCAACAGCATGACAAAATGTAAACAATGCATCCCAACAGGCTCATAATCTACTCTTGAGTTCGCAATCGACCGGCTGAAAACTTGCATTTTGGCCTTCTCCGGTATGTGTGTATGTGTTTGTGTGTTATACATGTGTCTACACGTGTGTGATGGACAGTCACTTCTTCTGGACGCGATTCTGGCGTCAGCAAGTCGCGATGGTGCCTTGCAGAAGCAAACCCATGGAAATATGTGATTCTGCCTCCAGTTTCCTCATGCAAGAGTTGTCCGATCTCACGGATTTCGAGGAGCATGGGAGGTCGGCGAGGGACGTTAACACATCAACTACCGGTTGGGACCGCCTTCTTTACAGAAGCCCGGCTTGAAGCTCTGTGTCGATTCTTTTTTTGCCTTTCATGTTTATTTGCATATTCGTGCTCGTGTGCGTGTGCGCGTTGGCTACACTCGGTGCCAGATCGTCAGATGGACAAAGGAGTGACCAACAGTGGGTAAATGGAAATGCTGATGTCAGCCCACCCGGTCCGGTACAGCCGGTTTGGACAAAAGTGAAGCAGGAAACAAGTGGTCTGGACACGGGTCTCATCTTTCACCTACGGTTACGTTGGTGACCAGATGGAGGCAGTCATGGTGATGATCGATGCCGATGCGAGTAACCAGACGCAGGTATGAATGTGTCTTGATAGAAGTCTAAAGAGGTGCGCAAATATTAAAAGCATACGTTTATCATAATATCTACTTATGAACAGGATTTTCGGATAACAACCGGCCCGGCTGTCTTCATGAAGACTGAAAAAGTAGCACACATTTATGCATGCATACATGCACATACACATGCACACTCACATATGCGTTTGCTTTGTCTATACAAGTGTTGGTTTCCGAGGCAGGCAACATACGAAAAAGCAAGTCAGTAAGGAATTATTTTCATTCATCCGCTACGCTTTAGTTAATAGAGCCTCCTGATGGAGAGGAGGGATTAAGGGCAATTTGGGATACCACTGTATGAGTGGCGTTTTTGTGCCCACACTAGAAATAGACAGACTTTCATCCCACTACCTGCCTAGGATCCACCCCGGACAGGTTGTGATGTGTGCAGCAGTAAACAAACTTGGATGCACGAAAAAGCCTCCGAGATCAGTCACAACGGGCCAAAATCCTACCGAGGCCTACCGAGGCGAACACGCACAGCTTCACACAATTTGCCCATCTCATAGACAGGGCCGAACAAGGCTACTGACCATAATAATCAAGAGCATTATTGCTGTCATCGTCGGGGCACAACTCATAGGCGCACACAGACGCTGGCATAAATGAATACACAAGTCGAGTGTCAGAGAAACAAGAAAAAAGACTCATCCATTTACTTATCTGGCTCATGTGGCCTGCGAGTCTTGAGATAGCCACATTCGCGCCACCTCTGGCATTTATTCTCGAGTTCACACATACATACATACATACATACATGCGGCAATGCAAACATACATGCACACATACAGG